ATTATTAAAAAAAAAAAAAAAAAAAAATAAATATATATATATCTCTGAATTAGGACAATCATAACCACCCACTTCATGCTGCCTGTTTACAAAAACATTACATATATTTCTCAAAACAAACCAACTACAATAAACTATCACAAAGTACCTCAGTAATTTGAGAGAAGTGACTTAAAGATGGATATTACATTTTATTTGTATTATATTTTAGTATAAGTTAAAACAATTTAATTAATTCAATTTACTACCATTACTACTACTACTACTAATAATAATGCATTTAATAATATTTAATAATTACAGTATTATAAATATAATTTTATAATAATGTAATATTTAAAGGGGTCATATGACCCCTTAAAGGGGTAATGGAACAAGATGGCGCCGCAAATGGCAGCCAGGACGCTGAGCTCCATGATTCTTCTGATGTTTTTGTTTGTTTGTTCTGTGTTTTGTCATTCTTCTACTATAAGTTTTACCAGAGACGAACTCCTTAACATTAAGCAACACATCCCAGACAATATTTTTCCGGTTTTTGATTATTCAGACGTTTTGTTGGACATTCTAGTCGGAGGTACAGCTGTGTTGTTCAAACGCGCGTGCAGACGCAGAAGAGGGAAACGCGCCGGCGCCCTGGCGAAGCTCCGCGCGTGCGGCTTTCGGACTGCGCTCCCAAGCATTCATCTCGCAAATGTCCGTTCCCTTCCTAACAAAACGGATGAACTTCTTCTCCTCATCTGCACCAACAAGAACTTTTCAAACTCTGCTGCACTGTGCTTCACTGAAACCTGGCTGAGTGAAACCATTCCGGACAACGCTCTTCATCTGCCGGGCTACCAGCTGTTCAGAGCGGACTAATGAAGCAGAGCGTGATTTACAAGCCTGTTTTGACCTCACTGATTGGAGTGTTTTTGAAGCTACTGCCACTGATCTGGACGAGCTCACAGAGACTGTAACTTCATATATCAGTTTCTGTGAAGATATGTGCATTCCTACCAGGACATTCTTATCATTTAATAATGATAAACCGTGGTTTACTGGGAAACTCAAACAGCTTCGTCACGCCAAAGAGGATGCTTACAGAGGTGGGGATAAAATCTTGTATAACCAGGCCAGGAACAGACTAACAAAGGAGATCAGAGTGGCTAAAAAAAACTACTCAGAAAAGCTGAGAAGAGAGCTTTCAGCAAACGATCCAGCGTCAGTATTGACTGGTCTAAAGAACATCACCATGTACAAGACACCACCCCCACAGTCTGCGGAGAATCAACAACTGGCTGACGATCTGAATGTGTTTTACTGCAGATTTGAAAAGGATAGTCTACCACCCCCCATCCGCTCTGATCTGCCCTTCACACATTCACCCACCACCCCTGCAACCCCCCTCCCTCCCTCCCCCACCATTCAACCTGTGCTTAAGGTCTGTGTAGAGGATGTGAACCAGGTCTTCAGAAAGCAGAAGACTAAGAAAACTTCAGATCACTGGAGCTGTGTGATGTTCCCTGCTGCTTCAAACGCTCCACTATCGTTCCGGTCCCCAAAAAAACCCAAAGCACTGGACTTAATAATTACAGACATGTCGCTCTCAGGTCTGTGGTCATGAAGTCATTTGAAA